AATACTGGAATCTCCCATCCAGAGAAGGAAACGCAGCCACCTATCTGGTTTGTCATTTTGCTGAACTTCCGCTCAAAGAGGAAGGGCCAGGTTTAAACCCCACCCACCCTTTCCACATCCCTCTCAATTTTCGCTTTGACAGGAAAGTGGTGACCCTGGCAGCACCGGCATGGCTAAGAGAGCATCAAACTGTTTCCACAACATCTCAAAGCAGACGCCTAGAAGCCAAGCCTGCAGTTTAACCAAGCAGAGGGAGTTGGGTCCGGCCCTGGTTACTGCAGGAAAACCTCATCAAGCAATCTCAGGGAAGGAAGGACGACCATCTTCCTTGCCCTTTCCATCTGCTGAGGTTACTTCATCTCAATCCATTAAAGGGCTCCAAAGTGCTGCTAGGAGGAGTCCATTTAGCAGAGACACTATCATGGGGCCAAAGGTGGTGCCCAGCCCCCACCCCACTTGCTGATAATGGGCCAAAGTCTGAGGCTTGGCTGCACTCTAGGCATAAAATATTTATTCAAGTCGACATAATACATATGTAGGAAAGTCATAGAAGCTCCTGGGAGAAAAGAAATGCCAGCCAGGTGGCTAAGTGCTTAATGGGAAAGAGTTCATGAAGGCATGGCTTAGTCCTGGTCACATGACCAATGAGAAGTGGGTTGTTCTGTCCAAAGGGGAAACAGTCTAGTCTGAGAAGTTTTTGACTCCCAAGAAACCATGCAAACCTCTCAGGCAAACAAATTCTCAATCTTTTCCTGCCTCATGAGCATCAACTCTGCTTAAGACATTTACATGGAGAGACATCTCAAGCCTGATCTTTGGTCACCATCTGAGAGATTCAGTGGTCCCTGTGCAAACTTGGTTTTAATCTGAAGCAGGCCAAGTTTCGATGACTGCCTTGTATCTGTCTGTTTAGCTACTTCCCAAAGTCCACAAATGAGGGAGAAATTATTACAATTTACTAGGTAGTTACCTTTACTAGGTTCAAAGATTAGAGGTATGACGACACCATGAACTCCAGGACTCCTGGAGCACTTGCTCTAACAGCAGCAATTTCTGATTTCTAGGGCCCAGCAGAAAGCGAGAATAGACGGTCCAACATCCACCCACATCCCTGACCAGAAGGCAGCACCACCAAAGAGCCCCTGGGTCAGAGGCAGAGGGCGGAGGGCAGAGTCAGCACCCAGAGCATGGCGGCGTACAGCTCGGAGGGCAGGGAGTGACATGAGAGCTAACAGAGCTCTCTACTAGATGACACTAAAACCAAATTATCCAGTGCAACACTCAGCCGGGATCGACTCCGGGATCCACGGAAAACATGTTTGGAGTGGCCCAGTTGCTCTTTCCAGGATCCTGTAAGTTAGATGTGCTCCCTTCACCCAGACTTCCCAACTCCTCCTCCCAGAACTACCTGGGAGAAGAAACAATGCCACTCACCCCCTAGAAGAACGACAGCAACACCCTCCCTTGCCCACTGCAACAGAATCGGGGTGAGGGGTGCAAGTCTCCTGTTTTCTCTCAGGAGCCCTCTCGCGTGGTTCCTGAGGACTAGACGGGGGGCAGGTCGCAGCCATGGAGCCCCTCCACCAGGTGTTGCAGAAAGCGCTAACCAGCGGCAGATGAACTCTGGAAACTGGACCCCCCTCCACACTTGCCTATTCCTGCTGCTGTGGGCTGGAAGACAAACAGTCATCCTGCTGATGGCTTTCACCACTGCCAAGCCTCCAGGCCAGCAGAGCCATTTGGAAAAGAAGCGAACAGAAAGCTCAGCTCACAGACTAAGAATCCCCAAACTACCAGCCCCAGGTCACAATCCTCCTCCTGTAAACGGAAGAAGAGTCTGGGGCTGTGAACAAGCACATCCGGAATCAGGTGTCACAAAAATCAACTTAAAGACAGGGCTTGACTTTCTTTTATCTCCTACTTTCGCCATTAGAAGCAGAGCTGACAGCAAACAGGCAATCTCCCCGCGTCACAAGGTTTATTTTTATTCTTCAACATTTTCTGTGTGTGTGTTTAATTCAGATGTGATCAAAGAGCTCCTGGAAACAGCTTCTCATCAGCCACATGTTGTAAAGAAAGGGGGAGGGGAACAGCAAGAGGAGACTGGAGCTTGAAGACAACCAGTGAAGTTTACCTATTTTCTGTTAAAACCAGTTTAAATAATTTAAATACGGGGATAGAGGACCTTTGCGGGAGAAGGAATCAGCCCAACCAAATCCCGTGCTTTTCATTTCATAACGTTAAGGCTTACTGCAATGACTGAGCTCCCAGGAATACTTCAGCTGAAATCGCAACAGGACAAGGAGAGCTGCCTTATTCTCCCCCAGTAGCGTGATGTATCCTAAAAGAAGCCACCACTCTGGCATCCCTGGTCTCATGACCAGAGGAGCTGCTACTTGTTTATTTTCTTGTTTGAAAAAACACAGGCACCTGCCCATAACAGGTGTATCCAAGGTTTTCCAAAGTCTGAGCTTCTACTAGGATGACACTTAACATCAAGTCAACAGGGTGACCGCCTACCCTGAGAACAGCAGCAGCAGCTATGGAGTGGCTCAGGGGAGCCTAAGTCCATAAAGAATGGAAACAGGATGGGCAATCATAATTTGGAACAGGATGCCAATGCATGCAGCCACTGCTCTGGACAAAGTTATCAAACAGCAGTTTACAATCCCAAATGGTTCACAGATTACCGCTATCACAGAATCAGCGGGTGGGCACTGACCTCCTACTACGCGCGCAGCAGTATGCTAGGCATGTGCAGAAGAGAGGGAAATCAACGCACACATCACAAGAAAAAACACATTTACACTGAGTAAACAGCATAAAGAAACCACACTGAGGCAGTCTGTACTCCACTTCGCTGAACACAATGCCCCCCAGCCTCATGCAGAGAGCAGGCACTCCAGCCACTCCCCAAATGCCTGAGGGTGCCAGTCAGTCACTCGGCCTCCTCCTACAGCTCCTGATCAACAGTCTGGGAAAGTTCTCTGGTTAAGCAGGGTTCACTTGCTAAAACAAAGGCTGTCATAGGAAAAGGAATGGAACAGGCGACCTCAAGAGGGCCTGGAGAAAGTGGTTCCCAGTAAGGTGAGAAACAGCTGGCAAGTGAGGGCAAGACTGTGAGATACAGACGACGCTCCGGTTTCCAGAGCCCTCAGTCCCAGGCAGAACCAGCTGCCAAGCCCAGTGATGACATGGAAATCAACCAAACCTCACTCTCGACCCGTGTCACCCCACAAGCAATCATTCCACCAGTAATGAAAGGTCACCCACTGCAGAGAGAAACTGGGTCCAGAACTCCTCTTGAGTTCCTGACTGCCAGAACCAGGAGGTAACAAGAGAAAAACGTAGGAAAAATGAAGAGGGGAGACTTTTCAGAAAAGGATGTTAACACGCAGGAGACTAAAACAACAGCTCTACTGGGCTCCAAAGAACAACGAAGGGAACCAGAGGAAAACAGAAAGGATGTGATGAGGGAAAAGGACGCAAAAAGCACTGCAGCCCCAGGGGAGAAGAGCTCCTTTTTTAAGCCGAGTTTTTTTGGCCTGTGAAGTTCTCCACCAAGAAGGGTGTGACAGGCAGGGGACTCTCCACAGAGCAGTCAGCAAGGGACACTGGAGACGGTGAAAGAAAGGGGGGGGGGTGGAAAGTGGACGCCTCTCAGCTCAGAGGTGAGATGACACAGGAAAGGCTAAGACTCGGGCGACAAATGACAGCCGTGATTGCCAGGATGAGGGGGAGCGTGTGCAGCCCAAGAAACTAGCATGCAAAACGCCTGGGCCGGGAGTTACAAAGACCAGCCAATCGGAAGAGGATGGAGAGGGGCATATGTGGGGAAAGCACACACGGGGTGAAGGCGGGAGACTAACACGGAGATGAAAGGCGATCCTGATTAAGAGGCACAGGAGGGATTACGGGGTGAGGGTGGCGAAACCGGAAGGCAACAAGCAAGGAGGAAGATACTACGAAAAGTGACAGATCCGGGAGTGAGGCGACAGGAAGGCATCATGGTTTGTGCCGCGGTGTAGGTAGCCAGAAGGGCAAGGACGGCGACGCAGCGAGGCCCGGGAGAGGACTGAGCAACAGGTTGCGCTAATGGAGTGGGGTTGGAACAGTCTCTTCCCTCGGTAGGAAGAGCCCAGCGAGAAGGCTGGCAAGGCGCTCACAGGAGAAGCAGGAGCCCCAGAGACGTAAAAGCCAGATCCCGGGGGGGAAGAGAACGTGAGGGACCCGAGGACTCCGAAGGGAGTGATGCTGGAACCCCAAAGACAACCTGTGGGAAAACTATGCGCATGACAGCTGTATGGGAAACACGGAAGCAACAAATGCCAGCGCGAGGCACCAGGGAGCTCCTGGCGAGAAGAAGGGAAAGTGATGAGCACAGAGTAGGCGAACGACTGGGAAAGGTGACGAGGGTGGAGCTGGTGGGTTGCGAGCAAGAGGGATAGCACAATTTGGAGAAGGAGGAAGCAGGGTAAAAAAAAAGCGGAGGAACTGGAAGGGGACAGGGTTCCGGGACCGAGGACACTCCGGGGAGGGACCCTGAGGGTGATAACCAGGGACCGGGAGAACCGGTGCCGGCGGAGGGGAAGCCAGGCTAGAGAGCCGGAGGGAGAGGCGGACGGCGACGCGGGGCACATCGCGGGGTGCATCCGAGGGGCGGGAGGGTGGCTGCTTCAGGCGTGGGTGGAGGAAGACCAGAAAGGCCCCGGAGAGAAAAAGGGAAGAGCCGGGGGAGCTGCGGAGGTAACACGGAAGGGCGCAGGAGGGCGGGGAGGGGAGCAGGGGGCGGCAGGAGGACGAGTGTGCAGCTTGCAGTCGGGACTCAGTGGGTCCCAGGACGGGACTCGGAGGGGGATGTGCGGGGCCGAGAGCCAGATGACAGGGCAGCCGAGGCCGGCAGGAAGGCAGCAGGGGCACGAGGGGAGCAGAGGAGGGAGGAGGCTCCGCAAGGTGCAGGGGCCCAGCCAGAGAATCGGGGAGCCCTCGGGGCTCCTTACCTGCTCCGTGTCCCTCTCGTTCAGCGTGGGTAGGGGGGTCCGGGCGCTGGACATGGCGCCGGTATCTCAGGGGAGGGAACCGAGAAGCTTGGAGGAAGGGAGGGAAGGGAAGGCGCGGAGCCCGGCCGGGCGGGGCTTCTCACAGCAGGGGCACCCGCCGCATGGGCCCCGGCCGGGGGTGCGGGGAGGCCGGGCAGCCGCTCACGCCAGCCCGGGGATGCGCCGCTCGGGCTAGGCCGCGCCGGCTCCGAGCGGCTCCGGACCGCACCCCCCCGACCCCCGGCTGGGCTGTGCCGCCTTTCGGCCGGGCCGCGCCGCTCCGCCTACTCTCTGCCGCCGCAGCCGGCCGCCCGCCTCGCTCCTCCCCTGCCCTCAACGGCACTGCTCCGCGCCCGGCACACAGGCAACCGCCGCCGGACCTGCTGCTCCCAACATGGCCGCCACCACCGCCGGCCCTCGGCTCTTTCCGCCGGCAGCAGCCGGAAACATCCGAAGCGGCTGGGAACGGGAGGGGGGCGCGCCTCCTCCTCCCGGCCGCGGACTACGGGTGAATTCCGGAAACACCCGAAGAAGGTAACCCCGGGGACGCGCGCGCCTCCTCGATTCCGAAGACCGGGTTTCGGCTGTGTTTACGGAAATCCACGAAGCCACTCCGGGTACTCCAGCCACGCCCACAGGCCTTTCCCCGCCCACTGCAAGCTGGCTCTCGGCAGTTTCCGGAGAACACCCGAAGCGGCTCCGCGTGCCGTGAGCCGGCCACGCCCCCGTCCCGCCCCGCAGCCGACGGCGGTCGTCGGCCATTTCCGGCAACACCCGAGGCCGATTGAGCGCCCGGGTCATTCCCTCGGGTGCTAGCCGGAGTCTGACTCTTCGTTTCTTTCCGTCAGTTTTCGGATATTTTCAAACCTTGAACAGGCAGCGTGGATCACCTGTGCGTGTTGTTATTTGACTAGATAGCAAATAAGGCTGTGAGCCGTCCCTGTGATTGGCATCCTTTGGTTCTAAAACAACTTCCCGTCTGCGCGTCCGTTCGTCCGTCTGGCGGTCAGCTAATAAAATGCATCTCGTTTATCAACCAACCTATCAACACATGTGTCCTGTCAAATGCTGCGTTCGTCTATCACCTGTCTACCTACTACTCATCACCTGCCATCATCTATCTTGGCTTCTATTTATCTATCCATACACCCCACATCTAGTCCGCAGGGCTCTTCAAGGTCCTGGTCCGTGTCCTTGGCTCCCAGCTGCGGGAGGCTGCAGAGGTCCCCCCAGCCCTGCATTCCAGCCCCAGCTCTGTGGACTGAAAGTGCTGTGTGACCTTGGAAAAATCACTAACATCTCTGAGCGTAGGCTCCTCGACCTCCCGATACTGAGAAAATCCGTGCCTTTGTTCCAGTGATGACATTCTAAATAACGTCTTTGAATTCCAGTTACCTTTTTTTAATTTCAAAAAAAGTCTTTTAGTTGTCCAAAATAGCACAAAACGACACGGCACTATGGCAATGTTGAGTCACGCCAGTTACCTTTTTAAATACCCCTGGAAGGTAAGGCAGGAGAGAAACTCTCATCTTAATTCACATTTCAGTTATCCCTTCTAAGACAAGAAAACTCATGGAAAAAGAGAGAAACTGGTTGAAAATGAGGATTCCTCAGGATGGCACAAAGAATGGGCCCCTGGAGAAGTTCCTTTCCTTCCCTGGGCCTGAGTTTCCCCATCAGTAAAGTGAGGTCAGTGGACTCATGAGCTCCGAAGTCCCTCTCATCTTTGGAGAGCCCCTGACTAACAGGAAGTGCGTGTGGCCACCAGAGTCCACACTTCACTGCCCCCTTGACTGTCTCACCAGGAGAGGCTGGTCTGACTCTTCTGGTTCCAAGGGGCTCCCATTCATTGTATCCCAGACACCCCACCCCCCCAGGGCTCAAGAGCAGCTTAAGGTGGGCAGAAGCCAGAGTCCCCCCAGGAGCCAGAGACCAGGCTCAAGCAACAAGTCCAAGGTGCAGGAGCAGAGAGGCCCCAGGGATGGGGGGACGGTGGGGCGGGGGGGGGGGCGGGGGGGGTGGGGGGGGGAGGGCAGGGAATTGTTGGTTGGACCTCCGATGCTTGACTTCCAACTCCCAGCCACAGCATCTTGAGCAGAGCCCTGGGCCAAGTCAACCAGAGAAACAGGCAGCCAGGCAGACGCAAGGAGAGGATGGTAGGAAAGTACTTCCTGGGGCAACAGGTACCACCTACAGTCCTAGTAAATGTACGGGACTCCAGGACACCTCCCCATGCCCCGCCCCAGCTCCATCCAGGCACCCAGCCCTTGCGGAAGAAGTTGATGAAGGAACAGAGAAGAGGGGAGGAAAAACGAGAGGAGGAGGTCGGGACAGGAGACATTCCACTCCCCCAACCCCAAATTCATCTCAGAAAATCCATGAGAATGATCTGCCCTCTGGTGGCCAAAGGGAGATACACCACAGATTCCTGCGCCTGATGTCACCCCCAAGGCTTGGGTCTGGAAAGAAGGGAAAAGGGGAAGAGGTTGGAAAAGCAAAGGAAGGTGTGCTGGGGGGTCTACCCAGCCCCAGGCTCTTGTCTCAGCTCTCACGCCTGCCCTCTGCCCCTTAGCCCCCACCCCCAGCCCACCTGTCCCCTCCCTTCCTCACAAGGCTGCCTATCTGGTCTCCCTGCCTGGACTCCCTCCAACCTACCCCACCAGACAGGCCAGAATAATCTTCCTAAAGTTCAGCTCCAGGGACATCTCTGCCCTGCTACAGGGCTCTCTCCAGCTTCCTTGTGGGACGGGCAGGGCTGGCTTCACGGGCCCAGGACCTGTGCAGTCACACAAAGCCCTGGCTTAGGAGGACCTTGAGCTTGATGTCATGCTCTGCGGTCACTCGCTGGAAACCTTCACCCAGGGGGCCCCGCCCTTCCATTGTGCAATGGGCCCCACGCATTTCGCAGCCCGTCCTGGAGATAGGAAAAGCCTTTAGCCTGCATTCAAAGCTTTTGCACAATCTGGTCCCAATTTAGCTTGCAAACATCCTCTCCAACCAGGTGCCACGGGTTGACACCTCCCTCGGCGCCTGCCCAGCCACCAAGCTCTCACCCCCATGCCCTTGTTCAGGCCGATCAATTGCCAGTCACCTACCTCAGCTTCCGGACGTACTTTAGGATCCAGTTCAAATGTCACCTTCTCAAATCCCTGAGCTCTCCTAGTTCCCCTCAAAGATTAATTATTGCCACACATTTACCCCTCTCTAATCTGCATATTTATTCATTCACAAATCTCTACTGAGGACCTACTATGTGCAAGGCACTCTTCTAGGCTCTTCTGGTGTATCAATGAACAAAAAAAGATCTCTGCCCTTGGGGAACTTACAACTGGGGGAAGACAGACAACAGATGTAATAGTAAGTGTTAAATGTCGTGGAAATAAAATAGAGCCAGTTAAAGGGGGTCAGGATTGCAGGGATGAGGGGGTGGAGTGGAAGGATTAAGGTGGTCAGTGTAGGCGTCACTGAGAAGGTGACACTTGAGCAAAGACTTGAAGGAGGTGAGGGAGTGAGCTCTGTGGATATCTAGGGGAAGGACTTTCTAGGCAGAGGGTATGGCACGTGCAAAGGCCCTGAGGCAGGAGTAACCTGGTTGTTTAAAGAACAAGAAGGCCAACGAGACTGGAGCAGAGTGAGTGAGAGGCTGAGTAGTGGAGAAGAGGGCAGAAAGGGGATGTGGAGCCAGGGCACAGCTTTGGCTTTCCTTTGGAGTGAGACGGGGAGCCGCTGCTGGACATGATCTGACGGGCTGCTGAGTTGAGAAGAGAGTGAAGATGCAGGGCAGGAGCGGAAGCCTGGGGACCAGGAAGGAGGCTTTCACGACAATTCAAATAAGAGATTACGGTGGTTTGTGGGAGGGCGGCAGCAGTGAAAGCAGGGAGAAGCAGCAGATTTGGGATATATCTGGAAGGTGGAGTGGACAGGATTTCTTTTGTTTTTTTAAAGATTTTATTTTTCCTTTTTCTCCCCAAAGCCCCCCCGGTACACAGTTGTGTATTTTTAGTTGTGGGTCCTTCTAGTTGTGGCATGTGGGATGCCACCTCAGCGTGGCTTGATGAGCGGTGCCATGTCTGCGCCCAGGATCCGAACCCTGGGCTGCCAAAGCGGAGCGCAAACTTAACCACTTGGCCATGGGGCCGGCCCCTGGACAGGATTTCTTTTTTTCTTTCTTTTTTTTTTTTTGAGGAAGATTAGCCCTGAGCTAACTGCTGCCAATCCTCCTCTTTTTGCTGAGGAATACTGGCCTTGAGCTAACATCTGTGCCCACCTTCCTTTACTTTATACGTGGGATGCCTGCCACAGCATGGCTTGCCAAGCGGTGCCAGGTTCGCACCCGGGATCCAAAGCAGGGAACCCTGGGCTGCGGAAGCGGAACGTGCACACTTAACTGCTGCGCCACCAGGCCGGCCCCTGGACAGGATTTCTTAATGGATTGGCTTAGGGGGTGTGGGAGGGAGGAATTAAGGATAATTTCAAGCTTTCCGACCTGAGCAACTGAAGACAAAACAAACACAAAGGTAAAGGCATCTACCACAGGCCCCAGACCAGGCGGACACCAGCCCAGAGGAGCCGTGCTCCAGGGTGGCTGTGATGCCCCCTGGGATGGGGAAGGCAAGGGGTATGGGGTTCCCAGCCCTAGCAGACACAAGGGGCCTTAGAGGATGAGCAGGGAGGAAAGAAGTAAGAGGAGGAAAGAGTGTGGAGTGGAAGCCATCCTTATTCTCACCCCTCCAAAATACTGCAACCCATCATCGTCTTTCTCCTCCCAACCCAGAGGGGCCAGAGACTATGCTGTTCCAGGCAGCCAGGAGTGGGAGGAGTGGGAGTGGGAGGAGGGGTCCAAAATTGCCCTCTGATCAAGAGTCAGATGCCTGGGGTGAAGCCAGACCCTCCCATCTCGCAAAGCTTTATTTTTCTTGACGTCTCTGAATTTCCAGCACGCGCTTTATTGCCGTTGACATACGCCATGTTGAATTTAGGACATTCCAGAGACGGTCGAATGTGAAAAAAATGTGCATCTTACAATTGATGGAATAGAATATGTTTATTATCGGTGCCTCTGCCCAACCATCATCAGGACGTGAACACAAGGGCAGGGACTGCCGCTCTCAATCCTCTGTCTTGGTTTTGCTGACATGCATTGAGAGCTGGGTACTGTGTGGACATCATCACATTTATCCTCAAACAATGTGCAGGAGGCACTGTTATTCCCCCTGGCTTACTAATACTGAAATGGAAGCGCAGAGCAGCTTGGTCCCTTGCCAGTGGGAGTGGGAACAGGAACATCATGCTTGGGGGCCCCAGCCCGTGAGAGGGTGGCAGTGTGGGGCAGCGAGCAAACACAGACCCTGCCGCCAGGCTGCTCCGTAGGAGGTACGTGATCTTAGGCTTTTCTTAACCTCTCTCTACCTCGACTTTCCCATCTGTTAAGTGGGGACAATAAAACGACCTACCTCATAGGGTTGATTTGTGAGGATGCAATGAGTTGATCTATGAAACATGCTTAGACAGAACCTGGTGGACGGCCGGTGCTTTGTGTGGGCTGCTGTTATTTCCAGGCAAACTCTAGCCAGCCTCCCCGAGTCTTCTGTTCAGTCTGTCTGCTAAATCCTCCCCACTTCCCAGAAGAACACCACCAGATCAGAAGCAAGAGAGCCCGTCTGGTCCCAGCTCTGTCACCGATGGATTGCGTGAGCCATCAGGTAACTCCCTTCCCCACCTGGGGCCTCAGGCTCCTTGTCTGTACAGTGAGGGGAGCTGGACTCCTTGCTCTCTCTGGGGTCCTCTATAATGCTGTAGACCGAATGTGTGTCCCCCCAAGATTCATCGATTGAAATCCTAACCCTCAAGGGGATGGTATTTGGAGGTGGTGCCTTTGGGAGGCGATCAGGTCATGAGGGTGGAGCCCTCATGATGGGATTAGTGCCCTTATAAAAGAGGCTGGCCCCGTGGCGCAGGGGTTAAGTGCGCAGGTTTCGCTTTGGCGGCCCGGGGTTGGCCAGTCCAGATCCCGGGCGCAGACATGGCACCGCTTGACA